CAAATTCGTCAAGAATTTTTTAGTACATTTCCCTTGTTCCATGATATGCGTTTGTAGGAAGTTATTTATTTATTTATTTCAAATGGGAGGCTTTGTGATATTTATCATTAGCCTTTAAACTTTGACTTCAGCTTCCCCCAAGGGTGGGGGGGGGGTACATTTATAACAGTTGATTAATAGCAATTCATTAGCCGTCTTCTTGCTTCCCAGTATCTCTGGCTTTCCGTCGTTGTCTTTAGGGCTGGACAGGTTACATAGAGGGCATATGAGTTGAGTGTATACTCCCAATCTGTGAAGATGTTTTGCCGAGCAATCGTGTCCGGTACGTAGTCTAAACTCAGCAACGGCTTCGATTGTTGGTTAGTCGGGTATGTCGGAGAGTGCCACTGTCCACTGTTTCTCCTTTGTTCGAGCTTTAAGTTCGTTGCACCTTGAGGTCTGGAATTCTCTCCTGATTAAGGCCTTCATTGTGTGGAAAGACATCGGCCACTCCATGCCTTGCAAAATTGTTGTCCCCTTCTTAGCAAGTGCGTAAGCAATCTCATTGCCTTTAATGCCACAGTGGCCAGGAATCCATTGTAGGACCACTGTTTTGTTTTTCTCTCTCAGCAGCTGACAGAGTTTTCTACATTCTTATATCTCAGCTGTTTTGGGTGGCTCTCTGCTACCAATAGAGTTTATTGCTGACTGTGAGTCAACTAACATAACACAATTTGTATTTCTAATGTACATTTCTTTTATTTTACCATATATAAGTATCATGAATCATCTTATTGGATTATTATGTCATAGAATTGTAGAGTTAAAAAACTTTGAAATTGTTAGGCAAAATCTAAGCCAAACAGGAACGAAGTGCAAAGCGAAAAGAAATAACAATACTGAATTTTGAAGATCCGAAATATACCCGGAATCTTGCGGTTTCTATATAACGTTTTATAGAAAGAATTGAAGTCAGCTAATCGGTGACCGAAATTGCCTCCAATTTGATTTACATGGAAATTTTTTAAAGCATTCGAAACTTATGCCCAGAATAACACACTCAACCATGTTTAATATGATGTCCAGATATTTAAAACGATATTTAATTTGAGTTTTATTTAGATGTATTTAATGTGTTGATGAGTTGCTTTCAACTAGCCAGAATGTCGATATGTTAAAAGGCGAACACCTCCAAGAATTATAAAAATTCTGAAATCGACCTTGAATTGACTTTACTGAGAGTAAATAGTTTTCTTCTACTGTTCACGATATATACTACTAACAAGTAGTTGAGTAGGGTTAGCTACTTTTCCATATGATATTTTATAAGGATGAAATGGATCTGCTTGCTATTTGGAATGATGAAGAATCGCCATTATTTAAATTTAATTTTCAATGCTGAGACACTTAAACATTTATTTTCGCCATTATTTCATTTAAATTTAAGCTCTCCTTTTTTGTTCTACCACAGTCCTATGAACGACAATTCCATATTTTATTCCTTGGTCAGCAGAGATCATTTGGGAAGAAATTAGGTTGTCATTAATTTAGTTTCTATTATTTAGAAGAGAAGGGACTCTCAGTATTGTAAATTGTACCGAGGGGTGGAGTTTTCTGATATGTTTTTTAATCGTCGCATAATTGGCATATTACAGAAATTTGCTTGACTATCGCGCAAGTAGATTAAAGATTCATGAAAGACTAAGACGTTTTTAATAAAAGGCTTGATTAAAAATCTTCATGATTGTATTCTTAAGCTGGATAGTATTTGTTTAGATTTTGGAAATCACTTCAAGATTAAATAAAGAAGACAAACAAACACTGAAATTTGAAAGCAGTGCGAATTTTTGTCTGATGAGTTTTTTAAGTCAATTTACTATTTGCATGCTATCAAGAATTTGATATTTGCCTTAACACATGCACTTTCTTTAATGTAACTTTGAAAAGTACTTATGATATCTCTTAAAGTGAAGAAGACGTCCAAATGAAAATGGTTAATGATGGACGTTGTTAGGTTTCAGAATGCAAAGAGGCGAATGAAAAAGTTGAATAATCCTTTACCTTTTACTACTTTATTTTTATTTGGTGTATATGTCATCATGTTCATTTATATATTCATATTTGAGGATTTTCTGTTTGGAAAGATTTTAGCAAATACGCACATTTGTGAGACTCAAAATCTTCCACTTTCTGTAAACTCCAGATACGAGTTGTAGTAATTCGTGTAACCAACCATTAAAGTGCAACCACCCAACTACCCTTTACGTGCGCAGTCCTCTTCATTCTTTATATAAGCCTCATTCTCAAGCATTTCTCCAGAAATGAATCAGTTCATATTCAGAATTTGTTATTTTTGTCTACTCATTTGTCCTGTTTTCATTTGTGGATACAGTAAGTCGATCTTCTTATATTTTCATTAATACAGCATATCAATAGTATCCACTCTAGAATCAGTGATCGATAGCATATTAGTGGACGCGCCTCCATATCTAATTGGCCAGGGCGATGAAAATACGAAAGTTCTCGGGATTGAAAATATCGTTAGATGTGGACCTATGTCGATGGAGGAAATAATGCTTCCTCCGAATATCAATTATAATATCAGCGCATGCATTGCCATGGATAATCTAGAAGTTCAAGTGAAATTAGTACGTTTGATTTTCTATCGAAGAAAGTTTGTCTATAGAAAATACCCCCCCCATTTTAATTACTTAATTAGGACATTTTTATTCACTCTCTTAAGTACATAGCTGGGAATTTTTAAGTTTCTCTTCTTTTCTTAGGGAATAATTCGCTCAAAATTTTCAGCCAAGTATATAGAGTTGGCGGTGAATGTGACAGTCGAAACAGGATTATCCCCAAAAGCAACTGGAACAGTAAAAATTCTGGAATGGACTGATCCTAAATTTGCCGGATTACCTATTGGTATTCTCAAAGGAATGGTTGAAAAGGAACTGACCAATCAATTGAACAAATATCTTGACCAGTTTATACAAATGGATAATGCCATTAATCCCAGGATCAAAGGACAATTGTAAAATAAGGAAATTGTTCATATGGCATTTCCCCAATAAGAGACGCCATTATAAAATTAAAGTACTTATCGAATATGTCGCAGACTTCTCATGCCTTCCTAAATCACTAAACTTCATTTTCACAGCAGGAATTTTAAAGAAGCATTAAATTCATGCATAAAACAGGAGAATATAAAAGGTGTATGGAAATCACCTGAATTAGAAATTTGACCACGTCAACACTGATCAAAGAGGATGTATTGCATTGTTGGCAAAGTAGATAAAATTGACTTGTACATTCATGGGACTGTAAAGTGAGCAGGAGTGAGAAGAAAAGAACGTGCAACGAAAAGCAGAACAGAGGTGAGAAGTGAAAGAAGCGAGATTGTTCAGTTGAATAAATGTATTCAACTTGACGTATGCAATTGGTGAAGTATTCAAGCAACGCTCACGCCAAGGGGAACCATCTATGAACAGTGGAGGGAATGAATTTGGCCAACAAACAGTGTAGCAACTCTAGAAGACATTTTCGCGACGTTTTTTACCTACTTTACAAATATCTTTTTAATGGTCGTAGAAATAGTTAATATTTCATGAGTGTAAAATCGT